GTGAACACACCCTAAGAGATAAGGAGATCCTTGCCATTTTTCTTGCTGTTGCTGTTAGGGGAATAATAAATTATTGACAATCACACATGAAAACAAAAATCACCACAGTCAATCACAAACAAACAACCACACCCTAGGCCAACCCCAACCTCTCTCACCACCAAAGGAACACAAGTGAACAGCACAAGCAACGTTGATACCAAACCCTACATACATTAAGCATAATACAGTGGTGCCTCGCAAGACGAACGCCTCGCAAAACGAAAAACTTGCAAGACGAGTTTTCCATTTTTGAGTCATTCCGCAAGACGAATTTCCCTATGGGCTTGCTTCGCAAGAAGAAAGCCCATAGGGAAATCTCCGGGGACCTCTTTTAAATGCTGGCGGTGGGGAGCAAAGCCTTTCGCCCCCCTCCGGCCTTCAGAAGAGGTCCAGGAAGGCCGGCGGGGGCTGAAAGGCTTTGCTCCCCACCGCCAGCATTTTAAAAGCGGTCCGGGATAGCAGGGAAGCGCGCTGCGCAAGCTCCGGAGACAGGAGGGCATCGCTGCCGACCGCCAGCATTTTAAAAGCCCCCGGCTTTGCTGCCGCCCGCCAGCATTTTAAAATCGCCCCGGGACAGCGGAGGCTTTGCTGCCGCCCGCCAGCATTTTAAAATCGCCCCGGGACAGCGGAGAAGTCTCCGCTGTCCCGGGGGCTTTTAAAATGCTGGCGGTCGGCAGCAAAGCCCTCCTGTCCCCAGAGCTTGCGGGGCGGGAGGTGGGGAGAAGGGCTTTTCTTCCCACCGCCAGCCTTCAGAACAGCCTTCTGAAGGCTGGCGGTGGGAAGAAAAGCCCTTGCCCCCCCCCAGCCTTCAGAAGAGGTCGGGGGACAGACTGTCCCCGGACCTGGTCTGAAGGCGGTTTCCATAGGAACGCATTGATTGATTTTCAATGCATTCCTATGGGAAACCGTGCTTCGCAAGACGAAAAACTCGCAAGAAGAAAAAACTTGCGGAACGAATTAGTTTCGTCTTGCGAGGCACCACTGTAGAAACATCGCCACCCGAACCCAATTATTGACAATCTATTACAGGGGTCGACAATGTGCGGCCCATGGGCAAGATGTGGACCACAAAGACCATTTTACTGGCCCCTGAGCCGCACTCGAACTGAGCTGTCCACTTGGTGAGTCCCCCATGCGCTGCGCTAGACCGGCTGCTAGACTTGTCAAGCAGTGCTGGAAATTATGTCTGCACACATGCAGCTACCGGAAATCGCGTCTGCGCATGTCCAGACGCTGAAAATTGCTTCTGCGCAGGCACGATTTTTGGCGTCTGGGCATGCACAGAAGCAAATTCCGGCACTGCGGACATGCGTGATTTCCAGTGTCGCACTGCGCTGGTCTGGCCCACGGATGATCTCTATGGGAGTGATCCAGCCCATGGCTGGTAAACCTTGCTGACCCCTGATCTATTATAATTCACCTGGAGGTCTACCAGCAAGTCCAACTACTCCCCCCCCCCATGGCATACAGAACCTTCAAAAATAGATTCAGATACCGTACATTGGTTGTAAGTGGATAGCTGCATGTTAAAGATTCATGGGAAATAGCCAGAACACTCAATACAATCAAAATTAACTTGTTGCAACTCTGACTGGGCTGTAGGACTTGGGTATCTACTTATCACTTACCTTTGCAGTGCAGAGGGACTTCAGCCAATGCCAGTCCCCTGCTATCCTCGCTGGCACTGCTAATGGAGATGTGCAACATTCTTAGCACGTCTCAGCTGGCAACCCAGCAAAAACAGTACCTGCCTTTTCAAGGTCATTCATTTCAAGTTATATACTAGATAATGAGGAAAGTAAGAGTCTGTATTTTTCAGAGACTCGCATAATGCCACACCAGTGTTAAGCTTAGTGATACATTTTACCAGTTCTTCATATGTATCCATTGCTTCCCTTCCGCATCACTGTCACAATCGGTAATAAAAATGCTCAATCAGCAGCTCAGGCAGCTGGAAAAGATGCATCTGGAGGTGGGGCATGGATATTCCAGAGCATTTTGTTTTATACGAAGGTAAAATTGAGTTGGTACCCTTTATCCTGCCTTTATGCCAAGTTTTAAATCCAAATGGAGTTGCTTGGTTGCTTTCCTGATACGAGGCATCATTTGTGTTATATGTTCTTATGAATTTTCATACAAAATTATGATGATCATACCTTATAAGAAGGAATTAGATGAAGGGAAGGCTAGCCATAATGAGTTTAATGATGTGTGTGTGTGTGTGTGTGTGTGTGTGTTCAGTAACTCTAGACTAGAGCACTGGAAGAGGGGCACAAAAGGATAACAGACATTGCGACTGTATGCTGCTTGTGAGGTTGATAGATGCATCTGGCTGGATTCTACTAGAAGCACAGTGATGGTCGCTAGTCAGACCTCGGTTTGATCTGGGAAGGCATGTATTATAGTACTATATATTGCCCACTAATCATGAACAAAGTTCACAAGCAATAGGCTGTTAAAAAAATTCTACTGGCACTAATTAAACTGAGATGCCTTGGCTGTAGACATTCAACATGTTATTCTAAGAAATAATCAGCCACAATGTGGGGAAATTTTTGTCTCAGAAGATCAGCCAAGTGACTTGATCTTTATCTTCTCTAAGCTTTTCCTGAAGCTGTCATGTGCTCTTATGTGCTAGTTGGAACCAGTACTGAGAAAAAGGCTACACAATTTTCTCATAACTCTAACAGACGGTTCCAGAGTTATAAATGATCTTTCACACTTGTACAGCACATATAATGGTCCACAGTGTTTTATTACTTCACTTGATAATGGGTAACATTTTGAGAGTCCAGACGTATTTCAGCCTCTTTTGAACTGAAGCTGACAAGCAACCTTGTGTGCCTGCCTGTTACCTCACTTTTCTTTTTGTTTCAAGTAACTATATTTGATACCTATCTAGGAAACATAAACAAGACCTGCCACAACAAGGCCTATTCACTTATAAATCATATCAGCTGATCCTCAGACCTTTAAACCCTTTGCTTGCCAAGGGAATACCAAGTGCAATACAGGCAACTCTCAACTTATGCAAGGGTTACATTCCAGGGGTGGCGCATAAAACCAAAAACATATATAGTCAAAACACACATGGTTGAATGGCAAGTGGGATTGCCAAAGTCTTTTTTCTTGGCTGCCCACCCCCTTTCCACCCCCACTTTTTTTTGCCAAGCACATAAGGCTGAATGTGCTTTATGCACATCAGTTGCAAGTTACATATAAAAATATATGCAAGCAATATATTCTAGTAATAATTAAGATGATGATGATGATGTTATTTGTACCTTACCCATCTGGCTGGGTTTCCCCAGCCACTCTGGGTAGCTTACAATACTAGTAACTCATAAATATAGATTGTTGTTGTTTAGTCATTTAGTCGTGTCTGACTCTTTGTGACCCTATGGACCAGAGCACGCCAGGCACTCCTGTCTTCCACTGCCTCCCGCAGTTTGGTCAAACTCATTTTCGTAGATTCGAGAACACTGTCCAGCCACCTCGTCCTCTGTCATCCCCTTCTCCTTGTGCCCTCAATCTTTCCCAACATCAGGGTCTTTTCCAGGGAGTCTTCTCTTCTCGTGAGGTGTTCAAAGTATTGGAGCCTCAGCTTCAGGAACTGCCCTTCCAGTGAGCACTCAGGGCTGATTTCCTTCAGAATGGATAGGTTTGATCTTCTTGCAGTCCATGGGATCTGGACAAGATGGCCTTGATCTGGACAAGATGGCCTTGGGCCTGATCCAGCAGGGCTTTTATGTTCTCATGGTGACTTTCCTCTCCCTCCCTCTCCACTCCTTTGAAGTTGACAGCCTCCTGTTTGTGGTGTTGGTAACAGGATAACAGAATTGTAAGGGACCCCAGAATTGTAAAGAAGGCTGACCGCCGAAGAATTGATGCTTTTGAACTATGGTGCTGGAGGAGACTCTTGAGAGTCCCATGGACTGCAAGAAGATCAAACGCATCCATTCTTAAGGAAATTAGCCCTGAGTGCTCACTGGAAGGACAGATCCTGAAGCTGAGGCTCCAATACTTTGGCCACATCATGAGAAGAGAAGACTCCCTGGAAAAGACCCTGATGTTGGGAAAGATGGAGGGCACAAGAAGAAGGGGATGACAGAGGACGAGATGGTTGGACAGTGTTCTCAAAGCTACAAACATGAGTCTGACCAAACTGCGGAAGACAGTGGAAGACAGAGGTGCCTGGCGTGCTCTGGTCCATGGGGTCACGAAGAGTCGGACACCACTAAACGACTAATCAACAACAACAAAGGGACCCCAAGGGACATCTAGTCTAACCCACTGCAATGCAGGAACCTCAAGTTGATCATCCATGACAGATGGTTGGTGGTTGGGGAAACCCAGCCAGATGGGCAGAGTATAACTATTATTACTATTATTATTATTATTAAATTATTATGGTCCTCCAACCTCTGCCTAAAACCCTCCAGGGGAGAAGACTCCAGCACCTCTCCTGGGAGTCCCTTCCACTGCCAAACTGCTCCTACTGTCAGAAAGTTATTCCTGGTGTTTAGTCGGAATCTCCTTTCTTGTAACTTGCATCCATTGGTTTGGGTCCTACCCTCGGAGCAGGAGAAAACAAGCTTGCTCCATCTGGCCTTTGAGATATTTGAAGATGGCCGTAAAAATAAAAATATAATAACACTCAAGCGAAAGTGAAAAATATCCGCCTTTGTGAAAGAGGAGGGGGTGGAGGACGGGTGACTATACTCTTGAGAATGCCTCTTTCCTAATGCAGCACGTGGGTGTGAGCTTGCTCAGAGAGAGAGAAGAGAACAGCCAGCAGCATCAGCACCGAAAGACTCAACAGGAAAAGGGTGTGGAGCTCGAGAGAGTGAGAGAGCGCAAGGAGCAAAGCCTCGGCGCCTCCCCCCTCCCCCGTGACGCAATCCGCAGGAGTAACCCGAGTCCGAACCTTGGCAGCGCGCGCAGACCCCGACTCGCGCATTCTCGCCCCCTCCCTTTCCTCCCCTGCTCAGCTTCCAGGGCCGCACGAGGCGCCTCCCCTTGAAGCAATTTAACCTCCCTCCCACCCGCTCCTTGAGCTCTGCCGGCGAACACTAATTAGGTCGTCCGCTGCCCCTCTGGGATTCCAGGGCGAAGAGATAAGGGGTGGGCGGGCGAGGGTGGAGAGAGCGCGCGCGAGAGGAAAGGCTGGGGGCGGCGCGCTCGCGCTCTGCCCGCCCGCCTTCCCCACCCCCCTTCTTCCCCCACACTGGCTCTCTCTAGCGGGCAAGGCTGCTTGGCTAGCCTGCGCGCCCGCCTCTCCCGAGCAGCCATGAACCGAGTGGGCAAGAAGGATGAGACCCTCATCGAGATGGGTCTGGCCAATGACGGTGAGTAAAGCCACCGGGAGGGAAGCGGGGCGCGCGCGCGGGGGGGGGGGTCTTGGTCGCTCGCCAGTTTGCCCGGGGGGAACTTCCCTTTCTCCACTCCGGCTCCTGAGGCGGCGCTTGGGCCAGTGCCTGGGAATCCCGGGGCTTCCCTTGCCCCGCTCGCGCTCCCTGTCCGGTGCTGAAGGCGCAGCTTCTCCCCAAGAGACCGACAAAACCGGGCCGGGTGCCGCTGGGAGGTGGAGGATCCCGGCCTGGTTCTTGGCGGGCGGGCGGGCGGGGCTGGCCGCGGCTGTTCATTCCGCCGCCCGGTGTTTGGCTGAAATGCGTCGCCTCAGGCTCACTTTTTCCATGTGGGCACCTGCGGTGTGGGGAGGAAGGGTGAGCCCGGGGAAAAAGGCGCGCCTCGGGTGGGCGAGAAGGAGCCAGGCTAGCGGAATTCCCAGGCGGCCGTGCAAGGAGGGAGGGCGGCTCCCTCCTTTCCTCAAAGGGAAGCGGCTCCACAGTTCACTCCGGCTCCAGAGGCCTCTTCAAGCCGTTCCCAGGGGTTGAAACAAACCGAAAGGCTCTGTCGCCAGTAGATTTCTACGCGCGGGTCCTTCCTTCAGCAGATCGTAGGACGGCCACATTATACGCCTATGTCACCCAAAGCTTTGACCAGAAACATGGGAAGGTGCGGTGTTTTGCATCTGGCACCGTTGGGGAAAGGTGAGAGAGTGAGGCCTTGTTGAGATCATGGGGCTCCCAAGACTGTTCCAACTGCCAATTCACCAGGCTGCATCAGAGATAATGAAGCTAAGGCTGATGGCCATTATTGAACTTTCCCCTTCTTTAAAAAAAAAAAAAGGGGGGGGGGGACGTCCGACCAGCCCATGCCAAGGCCTTCATATCATTTTCTGAAAGCTGTTATTATTTCACCAGAAGCTGCCAACCTTTTTGGACCAGCAGACACAATTCAAAGTTCTATGGGTGCCATTCGTTTCCGTGCGCTGCTCTGGTTCTCCAGCAGTGGCTTAGTCATGCTGGCCACATGACCCGGAAGCTGTACGCCAGCTCCCTCGGCCAATAAAGCGAGATGAGCGCCACAGCCCCAGAATCTGCCATGACTGGACCTGATGGTCAGGGGTCCCTTTACCTTTACCTTTATGGGTGCCATTCTTAAAGTGGCTGCCATAGGTAGCATGGCATAACACAAAATAATAGCTGCTCCCTTCCCTCCATTCTTGCTGTGGGCAGTCATATATGTCCTGCTGGCCCTGATTGTGCAGATCACACCCACCCACTGGACACACTCACGCTAACAACAGGGAGCATGCCCCTGTACCAGGAAAAATATACAAGCTGGCCAAACACACAGCACACACATATAGACCACAGACACACATGCATAACTCTCTATCTCTCTCTCTCACACACATTTCCCCCTCTGTCTGCCCAAGTGTATGTCTCTCAGTCACACAGAGAGCATAGTTGAGAACCCTCACATGCACACACATTCAGAAAAGGCCCTTCATGAGTGAAGGAAGTGCCTACCATTGCAAAAATAAAATAAAATATCTCCCCCTGCAAAATGCAAGAACTAGTGATTTTGCAAAAATACCTTAGGGCCACCTAGTTTGGTGATCTCTGTTCTAAACAAAAATAAAATAAAGGTGGCCCATAAGGAAAAAAATAACATTCTATCTTAAGGCAAAACTTTGAGCAAGCCAGCCAAAATATCCCAAAATAGTGTGCAAGCTTTTGAGTTGAAAGCTTGAGTTGAAAGTTTGCACACTGGTTTTGGCATTTGGGTTAGCCTAACACAGGCATTACCCGGGACGTGGGTGGTGCTGTGGGTAAAACCTCAGTGCCTAGGACTTGCCGATCGTATGGTCGGCGGTTCGAATCCCCGCGGCGGGGTGAGCTCCTGTCGTTCGGTCCCAGCTCCTGCCCACCTAGCAGTTCGAAAGCACCCCCAGGTGCAAGTAGATAAATAGGGACCGCTTTATAGTGGGAAGGTAAACGACGTTTCCGTGTGCTGCGCTGGTGCTAGCTTGCCAGCTGCAGCTTCGTCACGCTGGCCACGTGACCCGGAAGTGTCTTCGGACGGCGCTGGCTCACGGCCTCTAGAGCGAGATGAGCACGCAACCCCAGAGTTGGACACGACTGGCCCGTACGGGCAGGGGTACCTTTACCTTTACCTTTAACACAGGTATTGCCCTAATGTGGATTATACTATTCATTAGCTTTGCAAATGAACTTATTTTCCTGCAGCGTTTTGAGCATTGCATTGTAATTTAAAAGAAATGGCTCAGCTCTGTGAAATTGAAAGCCTCTTCAAAACATGATTTGGTTCTCACAAGGCCACCTTTGTTAAACACAGCACATAACCTGTGAAAAGTAGACCTGTAAAGGAGAAGAAATAGAGGCAAAAAACATTTTCATACATGACCCTAAAAGGACCTTTGACATGGTTGACCCAGCATGAGAAAGAAACCTACTTCATTACGAAGCTATAGATGAAGACAGGAGTTGGTGTCCCAATGGTGCAACAATAGAGGACATATGAGCAAATTGTCTTTCACCGATACTAAGCTTTGGGCCTTTTTACTACAAAAGTTTTAAACACAAGTTAGAAAGTAGGAGTCTGGATGTTACTCCACTTCTACATGCTGTAAAACTACTCCCAGTAGTGACTGGTATGGTATAGCTTGGAGACACGCTCCTGACACCAGTGCTTGGATGGACAGGGCAGGATAGTGATGACGTTGGGTGTTTGTGGCCACTGATGGAGTCTGTCACAGCCCAACCTTGATACCACCCAGCCCTGCACCCAGTAAGCTGCAGTGATGCCAGCATTGGAGGGGAAGCTCAGCTCCACTCTACCAGATGCTATGATTATTTGCCTGGTAGTTCTTGCCTCCATTATATGCAAATTGGAAATTATGTCACTGCCTTTGAACTGATACTTACAGGACTTTCACCTTGAGGTGAAATGGAATGGATACTGTAGCTAAGCTGGACATGGCACTGGGGAATGGATGCAGGTCCTTCCCAAGTCTAGAGGGCACCTCTGCCTCCTCCCCAAACAACTCTGGTGGCTTCGGGAGGGAAATGAAAACACTAGCACCTCCTGCAGGTCCTTCTTCAGTGCTTCACTGTTGAGCTCTGGACTGGTTGCTGCCACCTGTTCCTTCCTTGGTTTCAGCCTCCCCCAATCCTCATATGCTTCCCAGGCTGGGCTGTAGTGACAGTGGAGGGTGGCATCATTCAGCAAAGCAACACAGAACAATGCTGCTGCAGGTACCATCTTCGTTACCCCAGAGTGGTGACAAAGAAGAGAATAGGACAGTATGCCTGGCAGATCCTTCTGTAGGCTAGGCTAAAAGATGGAAATAACGAAATTGGCTGGGGTGAGGAAGGAAAGAAACTGAGTGTGGAAGTGGAAAGCCATGTTGTTTTGTTGTTGGTTGGTGGCAGCTATGGCAACCGGGTCATAGCAGTAGAGAAGTGAATAATGTATTTTTGTATGTGTGAAGTTCTGGTGTGTGTATGTGTATACTACTAGTCAACTAAAAAAATGACAGTAAAATCGGGGGGGGGGACACACTTCATCCCTTCTTTCAAGATCCTTAGTTTTCATTCCCTTTTATAAGATAGATCAAGTGAACCAATATAGTGTGAAAGTCAGAGTGTGGTGTTATCACCATGCTGGAAAACATTAGTTTGTAAATTAAATACTGCCTAAAATAGACTTACTAAGCACTTTCATAATGACTTCCAAGTAGGAGTATTTTTCTCGTAGGTGTCTGAGATGAAGTTATTGCTATGACTAAGCTAAAGTGAATATTTACAAAGTGCATAGTTGATGCCATTCCCAAAGCAGTTACTAAGCCAGGAAAAAATCCATTGCATCAATTTTTGCCTAGCATCTTTCCTCCATCATTACTTAATCATTAAAGGAACCCATTATTAAAGTATAATGCAAGCTAGAAATGTACTGATGTTCACTGGTTCCATTCCAACCACCAACACACTGAACTTTCTGTCTCAGTGGCCTTTGACTTGAAAGTTTTTTAAAGCATTCCATGGCATCCCAGACTGTGTTTGGGATAGGTGTCATCTTTGAATAAAACTGAAGTCAGAGTTCTAGCAGCTCTGACATCCTGTCTTTTGTAATAGCCAGCATACTTCATGTGTGATTTTTCTGCCGTGTACACATACACACAACACTTGCACATACACATTCACATAATCACTTACATGCAGGTGTGTTCTCTCAGTCATGCACTGCACAGAAGTATAAGTTCCCCTCTGTTAGGTAGTGAAAGAATGAAGCAGACAAGGCACTCTTGTGGAACTGTTTAATTGAATACCATGAGTGATATTCAATTAAACAGTTCCACTAGAGCAATGACTTTTAGTTGTGCAATGGAGCTTATTCGCTCCCTGTGCAACCCCTAATTTTTTTCTGGGGGCTCCCACAATCTTCTAGAACAGATTTATGGGGCATGCACAGGATGCATGGGGAGAGGAGAAGGCAAAGGGGTTCAAATTCTCAGTCATGTGTCTTTGTGCTAGTGGAACACAGCAGTTGACTATGCTAATTTCCAGGAAAAGCCTGGAAAGGCAGACCTCAACCACATACCTTAAAAAATGATATAGGATGAGCCTGAAAGCAGTTGAAAAGAGCAAAGTAATAAGGGCCTCAAGGAGGTTTTCAGCAAAGTGAGCAAATGATGCCTCTACTCCCTATCTACTCTTCCCCCACTTATAGCCTTCATTCTACTGTCGACTTCCTAGGTCCAAAGTCACCCCCTTCCCTAACTTATTCATCCATTGCCTCTTTCCTTGCCTCCAAAATGCCCTGGAATGCTGTTTTACCTGCTTCTTATATCTCTTTAAGGCTAGGAGATATGGCTGTACTTCAATAGCTTTCTGATTTCTTCAAGGCTCAGAAATGCGGCTATAAAAGTTCCACAGAAGTCATATTCCGAGTCAGAGACCATTGAAGGGTCAGGATA